TCTACTCTCCGAGCCTCGACACGTCTGGTCTGCCCTCTCGAGGCCTTCAGCCTATCCGGACCATTCGTTAGGCCTTCGACCTGACTATGTGCCCTCCCGGGTCTACAGTCTATCTGGTCCGCCCTGGGTATGTTGGCCAACAGCACAAAGCAGGACCCGCCTCAACCCAACCCCAAACAAACAACCATGTGCACATATAATAGATAATCACATAACAGTCCATAGAAAAACAAACTGATCTAGCAGATCATATAGCATAACAACATCCTAACTAGGATACCGACCTAACCGGTCACTAACAGTATACCATCCTAACTACCAGGACGCCTATCTAACATATCAATAAACATATCAGACAAAACCAATATACAATCCAAGAAAGGGTCGGCCTTGGTGCCTTAAACCCTGTTGATATAGTGAGGATAACTCACCTCGCAACGCCGATCTAACTGAAGAAATGAACTCCCGAACCACTATCTCACTGGAAATCCCGAACTATCACACAATAAATACCAAGTCATTACACAACATAACAAAATTGGAAAAAGGGTCCACTCAATCCATCATATCCATTCCCTTTTATTGGGCCAAGACCCAGTTCCAAGTCCATAACCTTGATAGACTTTACGCAAGGTCCTTTTTTTGGCCTAATTTACTAAATTGGGCCCAACTTCCTTATTAGGCTTAACCCTATGATCCACTATCACCAAAACTGCCCCAATACAATCTACTTATAAACTCCAGCAAGGCCCAAACCTTACTAGCCCAAAAAGTAGCCCAAACCCAAAGCCCAAATTACCAAAAGTCCATAGAAGACATACGCTAGGCGTACCCTAAGGCTACGCGAGTCTCGCATTGACTGGAAAACAATCCATTGACTTAGTACGTTGGGCGTACAGAACCTTACGCTGGGCGTATGCAGGGTTTTACCAAAATCTTAATAAGTGCTTAATGGATTAAGCACTTAAGCCCAAACTCCAGATCCAGTGACCAAATGTGCCTAGGACTCATAAAGTCTCGAACTTAATCACTTTGGACGTCCAGAAAGCTCTTAATCCATTAAGACCCTTCTACATCATGCATGGGATATCTTAAGCCATCAGGACCTCATTTTTTTATCACTTGAGACCTCTTCAAGGTCCATAAAGGACAACTTATCTCATCGAAAATGCATCATGCACCATATTGGGGGTTTTTGGGACAAGAAATGGTTCCATAATGCTATAAAGGCTAGATTTATGATCTACAAGCATAAAGTTTGAAGCTTTTTACCTCATGGAGCTTCTAGGGCACAACACAACCTCATATCTACCAGCCAATCTCCTTCTTCAACTATTTGTTGCATAGGCTTCACCTTCAAGAGCTCAAAATACCCACCAACTCACTCTCTCACACAAGAAATAGGGTTTGCAGGGGCGGAGCTTCAACATATTATTTGGGGGGGCCGAAAATATAATATGTATGAAAATCGGAGAATAGGGGGGCCACCGTCAAAATTTTATATTTTTTGGTCTAATATGTATTAAATGAAAGTACAGGGGGCTATTTGTAACAAAAAAATCAGGGGGGGGGGCACAACCCCCTGGTCCTAATAAAAATCCGCCCATGAGGGTTTGGGAATCTTTCTGGAAGATGGAGGCTAAGAAAGAGAAGAGAAAATGCACCATAAGGATGTTTATATAACCCCTAACCTGAGATATTAGGGTTTTCATCCTTTATGAGTACGCCCAACGTACACAAGTATACTCTCAGCGTACTAGGGTGTGCCCTAGTACGCTCAGCATATCCTTATATACGTGCAACGTACTCCTCCTGGTCCCAAAATTACAATTTAGCCCTTAGGCTCTTCATGGCTTTACCCTTCCATCCCCAGGGACTACAAATGACAAAACTTGGGATGTTACACGGGTGTTACAATCATGATCTCAGATGAGAAATCTAGATCATATGTGGAGCATCAAGACATTGATGGATCATCTAGAATATTGATGACTCATCAGAAACATTGTTGGCTCATCCACAACTCTGTGGCTCAACAAGAGTTGATGGCTCAACATGAATACTTGGTGGCTTAACTCAAGTTAATGGATCAATTTGATCACATTGATGGCTCAACAAGGTTGCACATGACTCATCATTTACAATGAAGGCATGTCCAAATGCTCAAAGGAACATGAATTTTGTCCATGGTCCATCTTGAACACGCAGTTGTACATCTTCAAGTTCAAGACACAGTCCAACATTCAAGAAACAACTCAACTTGATCAACAACACTCCTAGAAGTTGATGACATCTCAAAAGACAATTGAGCAACATGATGCTCATGTTGCTCATCACATTTTCAATGTTGATCAAGAAGGATCAAGAATTATGAAGACTCATAAGTTGGATGAATCCCTAATGGAATAGTAACAAAATTGGAATATTCCATCCATTCTTCGTTAAGTAGGGCAAATGTGTCAACTGATGACTAAGTCATGATGACGTGTCAACACTTGATTGGTCAAGCCATGTCATGGGCTTTTCCAAAGTTTATAAATAGGCCCCTTGGGATCCATTATAAAGTGGCTCTTTTCTGATCATTCCTACTCATTTTGCACAATTGCTTCTTAGACTAGTCTTCAGAGAGCCATTTGAGAGTTTTTTATTTTTTATTTTTATTTTTTTAATATTTTTTTTAACATTCAAACACTTGTAATTGAATCTTTATGAATACGAGACACATTTGCATCATTAATCTTAAGTCTAAATAATGTTTTTCAATTAATTTGATTGATTCACAACTCTTTATTTTCCGCACTACTTGCCACTTGACGATTCTGAAACTTTGTTTTAGTATTTTCAACACTTGGACTATTCTAGTCTAGGTTTACTGAATTTTTCTTATTTCTTCACCTTTTTATATATATATTCAACAAATCTACTCCTTTATCACGTAACTTGTTAATCTCCCCAATGACATGTAACTAAATAGAGGAATAAGTAGAAGCAAGGGTCGATCCAAGCGACCATGCACACCATAAATAACTTTGATCATAGACACACAAAAAGAACCCGACTAAGAACAAAAATGTCGAATCCACTTAGATAAAAGCACCCTATTAAGTGCAAAAAACTACCAACTCCAAGATCCCTAACATCCTTAGAGGCTAACACCTTATCTCATCCTACCCAAGCCTTTATTTTATATTCCTTCTTGGCACCCTTAAAGAAATTAATTCTCAAAGCTTCCAATTTAGATAAAAACACAAATCAAAACCTTAGAAAGGGACATAAATAACATAGGTATAGGTCCCAAAACAGACTTCAAAAGGGTTACCCAACCTCCTATTGACATGGATTTGACCTTCTGGTTTAAAAGTCTGGAAACCATATTCTAAACTACATATATACAAGAACTAGCCTTGGACATAACGCCACCCACCAACACACCAAGATACGCAAATGAAGCTTTAATGTCATCATAACCATTCAGAGAAGCTTACTTTGTACTTCCTAGAAAGAAACTCTAATACCTAATAATCTACTTTTGTGAATGTTGATCCTAAGACAATAAGGAAAGTGAAAACATTATAAAATATTAACAATGTTTGAGAAATTATAAAGCTTCCAATCACCAATGAAAATTACATCATGGGTATAAAACATATGCAAAACTTGAACCGACTAGACAATCTTGAGACCAGAAAATAAACCATGTCCCACAGATCTAGAAAATGAAATATGAAAGGATTCCATTACCAAATAAAATAAAAAAGGTGAAAGTGGATCTCCTTGTTTCAAACCTCAAAAAACGAAACGCATCAATATGGCTACAATTCACTAACACAGACCCAATAAAAGATTCAAACAACCTTGAATCTAGTTTCACCACATATCACCAAAATCGCACCTCTCTAGGATGTCATCCAAAAAATCTCGTCTATTCATTCGTAAGCCTTCCTGTAACACCCCATTTTCACTTTTTGAGATAAAAAGATATAAACCATTGTTTATAAATATTAAATTGAAAATACGTTCCATTTTAGCCAAAGTGTTCAACATAAAAGTTGTAGTAGACATCAATATAAACACGTAGATATAAAAAACATCGAAAATGGAGTTCATATGAGAAATTTACAATATTTTGAAGTTATGAAGAATTCTGGAAGCGTTGGGACGCCTATCAAGTGTGTAGGGCGTCTATAAGGGGCGTGGGGCACCATATTTAATGCACCTGCCAATGTAGTCAAGATTGCATACATGAAACCAATGTTGCGTACCCAAAATAGTATGTCAGGCTAGGCCATGAGGTGCGACTCGTCCCTCTGGAGCACGTCTTCTTAAAATCCATCCTATAAATAGAGGCATTGACCTCCCTCGTTCATTTCCCGATTCTTTTCAAATAGTCTCTCTCCCTCTCGCTCAATCATTTCAGTCCCTCATGATTTGACTTCTCGTTTTATACCTAGTTAGCGGAGCTCTGGAAGTTTCGTAAGGATATAAGAAAGTGGGCGTTGACATTTTGCTCGCGACTATTCGGATTTCGTCAAATCAAGTAAGTTATACTTACTCTTATCTATAGTTTGTTATATTTGTTTTCGTTGTATTAAACCCTATAATATTTAGATTAGTTATTGATTCTATTTATGTACTAATTGCTCTACTTATGAAAAAAGTGTCTAGGATAGACACATTGACCTGGTTGTTAGATTTCAGAAAAGTTATATACTGAAATGGTCTTGCCTCCTGATTATCTTGACTGACTAATCCTTATTTGATAGCCATGAAAGTATATTTTAGGGTTACTGAAGGATCTAAATATATAGTTGTTATTCTCAGGTAGTCAGCAACCATAATAGTATATTATAGGTTGTTACATTCTGGTCGAGTCGTCTACAAACCAACCTACTTAGCTGCTTTAAGAGTATTCAAGTGAGTTTTCTCACTTTACTATATGGTGTTGAACTATTTGTTTGTTTGTCTGTTATATATATCGACGTATCATGTTGTGAGTAGGGATGGCAAAAAAACCCGAACCCGACGGGAAAACCCGATCCCCGAAGATTTCGGGGCGGGGCGGGTCGCGCTTATCGGGAAACGGGTCGGGTATCGGGTCACTATTGGGTATTTATTTCGGGTTTGGGGCAGGGAGTGCGGTATGCATTCCCCGACCCGACCCGACCCGTATATATATATATATATATATATATATATATATATATATATATATATATATAATTACATTTAAGCCCCTTAGAACCCTAAAATCACTTTACCAACGAACTCGCTTCTATTCGCTTCCAGTTCCAACCGACAAGTCCACAGAAGATTCGATCGCAGTCTCGAATCGTTGCCTCGTCGCTTATCAGTTTCAGTTGTCTAGTCGTCTATGCTCTATCACAGTATCACCCCTCGCACTTGCATCCTCTAATCGTTGTGTCGTTTGGAGATACGGAAATTGCAGAATCGAAGTTGAAGGCTCAAAGCACATCTGTTCAACACAATCTAAATCTAGGTAAGAATAATGCTTAATTTAACTCTATCACTCTGATGATTTTGAACTCTGATGAATTTGAATATGATTGATGACAAAGAAATTGGAGTCCAACATTGCATTTATACGGAGCCTTGTTTGGTTCAAATTTCATACGGGAATCACTCTTGTTGCTATAAGGATTTGTGGAATTAGGGTTTTACAAAACACACAATTAAGGATAGTTTCATAATTATGATGATTTCAAATATGATTTAAATTGATTTTGAGCTGATTTGAACTTATTTGTACCGATGAATCTGATTGCAAATATTCAAATGCATATATTAGATTATTAGTTGATTTTTTTTCAAATAAACATATAGGCACGTAAATAGAACTATTTAAGAATCTAATTTGGGTTGATTTCTGTTTTGTAATTTGTTTAGATAGATTTGTTGAGTGTTGCTATGACATTGGTTTTTATTTTTCAGGAAATATGAATTCAAAAAGTCAAAATCATGCTCCAACAAGTGAAAATCATGATCCAACAGCAAGTAGTCAAGATGTGGGAGGTTCAGGTTCTAATCAACAAAATACTAATTATGTGGATCAACAAGATGGGACAAATATTAATGATACATTTTTTGATGAAGATGGAGATGAAGTGGTTGGTTCGAAAAGGGCAACACTTTCACCAGCATGGTTTCATTTCATAAAATTTAAATTGAATGGAGTAGTCAAAGAAAAATGTAAATATTGCTCTAAAGTATTGGGTGCAGATAGCAAGAATGGCACAAAACATTTACTTGCACATTATAAACGTTGTATACCTAAACATTTTACAAATATTCGCCAATCTATACTGATGCAAGAAAAAAAATAGATGGTACTACAACACATGTTTCAAATTATACATTTAATGATGATACTTCAAGGAAGGATTTGGCTGAAATGATTATTATGCATGAGTATCCGCTTTCTATTGTAGAGCATCATGGATTTAGGAAGTTTGTGGGAGGTCTTCAACCTTTGTTTAAGGTTCCTTGTCGAAACACCATCAAGGGTGACATCAAAAGTATTTATGATTATGAGAGGGATAAAAATATGAGTTTGTTAGCAAAGAACAAAACCAGAATTGCAGTTACTATCGATATGTGGACATCTAATCATAAAAAAAAGGGTTTATGGCAATCATAACACATTTTTTAGATCAAAAATGGAACTTGCAAAGCAGAATTATGAGGTATATTATACTTATTTAACTACAATTTATACATACTTATTATTTATATGTTAATATTAACATATATATATATATATATATGTATGTATGTATATATATATATATATATATATATATATATATATATATATATATATATTCACACTCTCTAATTCTCTCAATCATTTGTGGTGCAATTAAACAGGTTTATTTATGTGCCTTGTCCGCATACATCTGATGTTCTTGCCGACATACTTTATGTTACTTTGTGTGATTGGAATCTTGATAGGAAAGTGTCAACTCTTACTGTGGATAGTTGCACCACAAATGATGCACTTATTAGGATATTATTAGAGAAACTTCCTCTAAAATCACTAATGATGAATGGTGATTTGTTTCATATGCGTTGTTGTGCACATATTCTTAATCTTATTGTGCAAGATGGCTTATCTCTTATTAAATATGAGATTAAGAGAATCAGAGAGAGTGTTGCATTTTGGTCCGCATCACAAAAGAGGGAGCAAAATTTTGAGACAGCAGCAGATGAGTTAGGAATACCATACTCAAAGAAGTTGATACTTGACTGCAAGACGCGGCGGAACTCTATATTCTTGATGTTGAGTGTTGCTACAAGCTACAAAGAGGTTTTCGATCGGGTAAAGACAAGAGACCCAAAGTATACATGTTTTCCTACAGACTAGGATTAGGAGTTGGCTAGTGAGATTTGTGAAAGATTACAACTTTTTATGAGGTGATTGTTATGTTCTCTGGTTCAAAGTATCCTACAGCTAATGTTTTTTTCCTTTGATATGTGAGATTGGGTATTCTTTGCGTGAGTGGACAAAATTTCCTATTGAGGAGATTAGGGAGATGGCTGAACAAATGGTTTCTAAGTTCAATAAGTATTGGTCTGTAATTCATGGGTTAATAGGAATGGCAGCAGTTTTAGATCCACGATACAAGTTAAAGTTTGTGTAGCTACTTTTGCCTGTGCTTTATGGAGAAGAAAAGGCAAAGGTTGAATTTCAAAATTTGGAGGGGTTTGTCAAAACTTTGTTTCAAGAGTACAAGTCAAGTAATGCATCTATAAAAAGGAAGAATCAAGGTATTGTATTATTCTTATTGTTTATATAATAAATAGAGCATTATCTTAAATTATTAACATTTTTATACTAAACATTAGGTGTTTGTGATGGTTCAGTTCCCGGTTCATCTTCATTTGGTTCTAGTATGTCTTCCAGTCATCGTGTTGGATTCAAAAAGCTCTTATCAGATATTGCTTCTATTACTAGAGATGATGATGAATCAGGAGGTATGAGTGAGTTGGATAACTACTTGAAGGAGAAATTGTTGCCTAAAGACATGGAACTTGATTTGTTGGCATGGTGGAAAACAAATGGGATTAAATACCCGACACTACAAAGGATAGCTAAAGATATATTAGCTATTCCTGTTTCTACTGCTGCCTCAGAATCAGCTTTCAGCACTAGTGGAAGATTAGTATGTCCTCATCGTAGTCGACTTCATCCAAAGACATTGGAGGCTTTAATGTGTGCTCAAAGTTGGTTGTTGAATGATATTCGAGGTAGTATACTATTTTATATTAATTATATGAAATTATGAATCTTTTTTGCATATTAATAATAGCTTTGTTAAATATCTTTTATATTTTCTTATGTACAACAACTTGTTCTGAAGAGACCAAGGCATATTGTCGTTCTGTTGAATTTGATTATGATGTGGAAGAGGTAAAAAGATACTTCTAAGAATATTAATTTTATATAGTTTCCATGATTTGGTTCAATTTTGAGTTTCTTTAATATTTTGTAGGAAAACACTAAAGAAAGCGGGACAACAAGTTTGGATGATTTTGTTTGATTTTTAGTTTGTTTTAATGTTACGTGGTAATGTATTATTGTGATGAATTAGTTTTTCATATTTTGTACTTTGGTATTTTGGTTGGTTGGTTGTTGTTACAATACTAGAGTATTAGTAATTTCTAAATGGTTAAATGATTTAAGAACTTATTTGGTATTTTAAGCCTATGCAATTGTCTTAATTTATCATTAAGTATTTGTAGTTTCTCCTTTTTTTTTGCAAAATTTCGGGTTTTGGGTCGGATTTTCGGGTAGTTATCGGGTTTCGGGTCAGGTTCGGGCGGAAGTTTCAGCCCCAACGAGGCGCCCCGATAAGAAACCCATCGGGTATCGGGTCGGGGTCGGGTATGCATTTAGAAATCGGGTTCGGGTTTGGGAAACCATGCCCTGCCCTGTTGCCATTCCTATTTGTGAGTTGAGGACGGTCCAACGTTTTGCTAAAGGTCAGGATACTCGAGCGGACCAATTTTATGTTGAGTGCCAAAAGGGTGGACTAGCTTTATGATGAAGGCCAAAGGGGCGGACTAGCTTTATGTTGAAGGCCAAATGGGCAGACCAACTTTAGGCTGAAGGTCAAAGGCATGACCAACTTTGTGCTGAAGGCCATCTATTGTATGCCTTTTATATATATTTTGGTATGTGCTATTTTGGGGAACTCATTAAGCGTTGGCTTACAGTTGTGGATTAAATGATTTTCAGGTTGTTCCTCTGATCGTGGGAAGGCTCCAACATGAATGTATTAATGTCGGAAAAATAATTATGTTTTAGACTTCCGCTAATCTCTCTTTTATGTTTAATGAATGTATAAGTGTGATCTTTTAATGAAAAAGAGATTTTGGAGTTAACCTATACATGTTTTAAAAATAAATATTTTGAGTTGAAAATTGGGACGTTACACTTATGAAAATCAACTCTGAAACCCACTGCCTTCTTGTTCTTACTTTTACACCAAGTAAAACCTCATTCAGGATCATTAGAACATCCAAAAATTGGCGATCAACAACAAAAGCAGACTGAACATGACTTACCCACTACCAAGCTCAACCGACTGGCTAAATTTTTAACAACAATCTTATACTGACAGTCTATAAGGATAATCGGCCTAAAGTCTTTAACAAATATAGCATCAGAGACTTTAGTATAGAGATAAATGAAGGATTAAAATATCTAGGAAAAACACCTGTCTTGAAAAACTCAAAAACAACATGAACCACAACATCTTCAATACTATTCCAAAATTTTCTAGAAGACTCAAAAGTGAAATTATCAAGGCCCGAGGTGTAAGGTCCCAGTCAGTCAGCTTCGGACTTCGGTTCGATGGAGGGGACAAGGTCCCAGTCAGTCAGCTTTGGACTTTGGTCCGATGTAGGGGACAAGGTCCCAGTCAGTCAGCTTCGGACTTCGGTCCGATGTAGGGGACAAGGTCCCAGTCAGTCAGCTTCGGACTTCGGTTCGATGTAGGGGACAAGGTCCCGGCCAGTCAGCTTCGGTCTTTGGTCCGATGTAGGGGACAAGGTCCCAGTCAGTCAGCTTCGGACTTCGGTTCGATGGAGGGGGCAAGGCCCCGGTATATGCTTTATATGTTTATATGGTATGTGGTAGTTTGGGGGAGCTCACTAAGCTTTGTGCTTACAGTTTCAGTTTTGGTTTCAGGTACTTCCGCAAGCAAAGGGAAGAGCTCGGGTTGATGGCATCACATACACCACAGCTTTAGCTTTATCCTGGGAGTTGATTCAGTTTCATGATATGTTTGGATATAGTTGTGATACAGTTATTCTCACAGTATTTTATTATGGTTTTTATTATGTGATACTCAGTTTCGTGGTTTTTGATATAATAAAAGTCGAAATTTTTGGGTAGTATTTTTGGGTCGTTTCAAGTTGGTATCAGAGCCTTTGTTTGAGGGATTCGGAAATGCCTCCGGGTGTATCTGAACTCAAACTAAGGGAAAGACAAAAAGATTTTCAAAAAAAAAAAAGAAAAATGATTTCGAATGAATTTTGAAAAGCACTTAGAGAGAAAAGATTTTTTTAAAAAAAACAAGATAAGGGTGTGGTGCATGCGATCAGCCGAGCTCAAGTAAGTACTCCCAAATTACCCATACAAGTTTTATTATTATGATTAATCATTCCAGTTCTAGTAGAACAGCATGCTAGTATAGGACTAAGGATCTAGGAGGATGCCTTATGTGCTTGTTATATGTGTTTCAGCTCTATGAGAATTGCATGCTAGTATCGAGTAGACAGCAGTAGGACAGCCTGTTTAGGTCATGCCTGATAGCGCGAGCTTAGCATTGTATGCTAGTTTAGTTTCTCGTTATGAGAGTAGAATTGCTTGGGTAGCTTCCGGTGTCCGAATGCTGCTTGCTTCGTGCTTTGTAGAACTCTTGGTGATGAGAGTTAGCCGTTAGGTGAATACATCACGTCACATGTGATCAGGGTTGAATAATCTCAGAGTGATTGGATTTGGCCCTATTGCGCAGTTCTCGTTTGAGTCTAACCGTTGTAGGGACGAGCCTTTTACTCGAAGGATTATCCGAGCCTCATCACATGTGATGGTATTCAGGTGATGGCTAATTAGCATTACAAGGAGGCCTTCAGCAGCTGAGGACTGTTTTGAGTGGAGTCAAGATTTCCCTAGGGCAAGCCTAGGATGAGAGTGGCAGAGATCAGCAGTAGTAGAAGTGACTTGGTGGAGTCAAGACAGTTCTTGAGGAGAGTACGGATTGATGTGGAAGGTAGTATGGGCCCGTACTACTGAAAGCAGAGGATTCGTACTCGAATCAAGGAAGGCCGAGACAAGACCAGGAAGCTAGTAGTAGTATCAATGATCCCTTGAGATATTTCAGTTTTCTGATATTGCTATGATGTGTTTCAGAATGGTGGTTTTGATGGGTTTTGGTCATAAGACATCCTATGTGCTCATACAAACCCTAATGCTTGGATCTAGGTTTCTCTATTGTACATGCTTTGAATCCAAGACTATAAACCCTAATTCTAGCATATGGAAATCGATATTAACATATAATTAGGTTTAAGATGTTACCTTGATTGTTATGTAGCAATAACAATCCCAATTCCTCCTTGAATTGACTTTGGAATGCTTAGAGTCACAAGTGTCACTCCTCTAATGGCTTACAAACACCAAGAGCAAATGGAGAAGGTATAAAGAGAGAGAAGAGGTATAAGAATTCGTCTCTAGGACCTCTTGGGAAGAGATACACGAATTCATGAGCCAAGGGGTGTTTATATAGGTGTAGAGATAGGGTTTCAATCATTATCCTTATCTAGTTGCTTATCCACAAAGCAACCCATAAGATAATCCTTGAATCCTTATCATAGTCGAATTCTAAGGCCTTATCACCTTAAATTCGTTCACCCTAATAATAAGATAATCCTTACCTTATTTTGTAACTATCACATAATTACAAATCAGCCCCTCTAGTTTAATTAATTACACTTGATCACAAAATTAATTCCTAATTAATTATTGACCAATATTAATTAAACAAATATGATTTCTCCTTTAATATATTATTCTTATAACATATTAATAAATCATAATAACCTCTCTCTCTTTATTTATTTCTCCAATCAAGTTGCTTTGGTGAAGGCAACCCAAACGGACCATGCACCATCGGGTCAAGTACATACCAAAATAGTTATGTACTTAGACACTAATCCAACAGTCTCCCGCTTGGATAAGTCTAATAACTATTCTGCGTATGACTTCAGATCCTGATCTGCAATCGTAGCTTTCCAAAGCCGCTGTCAACTCTGATCCTATCAGATACGCGTGTCCTTAGATAAGGGATCATATATTCCTCCATTCTAGATATCGTATGAGATATGATTTCTAATCATTCTCTTTGTACTATTTCTCGATTTCCGATTTATGACGACTGACTAATTGAACAAATCAAATTAGCCCTAGCCCGACCGAGCATTTACGTTTGTCATCACTAAACCATCGAGGGGCCCAAAGATATCGCTTTTATTCTTTGAATAAAAGGAACGGATAAACTTTGATACAATGCTTGCTTGCTCTTACTAACCAAATCACACACAACAATATGTTTTATAACACCAAGTTACTAGTGCGTTTACATATTATCAATGTGCAACCGATTAGCAAGATACAACTCACACATCTCGGTTTCAAGAATATAAGATGTTATCGTCTCACCAATCACTCGCAATTCATGGAGTGATCCAAGTGAGCGTGGGTTTAATCTAATGCTCAAATCATATTCATAAGCACTCATGAACGTTGCAGCAAACATTTTCTTATGTCTAATTCTCTTTAGACAATCTACACACCAATTCATGACAGTCTTCATTCATATCTACTTCCAACATATGAATGACTGTGGCCCGTTCGAATATTTCGATTATTCTTAATAAACTCAATTATTCTGGAAGTCAAAACATGCAAATGTGAAACACAAGAATAATACTAATCCCATATGGCCTCAAACCTTTGAGTATAAATAAAACGCCTTTTATTTATCACCATATTGATTACTCATTATTTGTCGTTTCGGGTAATCAACTTCTTACTTGAATTCCAACACTTGTCCCATGCTCCTAGCATGCACACAATGTTTACCTATGGTTCTTACTTTTGTGAAATAGACAAATTGAACACATTTCCAATCATTCTCATTTTACAACTCCAAATCCTTTTTCATAAGTGTAAGAATATCAAATTCTTGCTACTTATAGAATATGCTAGATTCTAACATTCTATGCAATGATTCTTTCGTAATGTCACCGCACCAAAGTCACAAAGACTATTGCCAATGATATTACAAAACCTTCTATCGGAAATTGTTACAAGACAATTCCTTAGATATGATGTCTCTCACTCAAAGTATATTCCTTTGAACATCCTTTTGCATAAAAGTTTCTAATCTAGACATAGATTTTCAATATTTACTTCCCAATATAGATACATTTCCATACTTTCCATATGACAACTCATTTCTTAATAGAATCTTTT